GTGAGGAAGTGTTGCTCTGTCTCCACTTCTCCATGATTACAGCATGGGCAGATGCGGCTCTCTTTGGGCAGCCAGTGCTGTGCAAGTGCTCTCTCTCTCTCTCTCTCTCTCTCTCTCTCTACGGCGTAAAGTATATTCTATGTTGTAGTCTAAAAAGAATAATGAAAGTAAAGAAAAAGAGAATAAATGAAAAATGAATGCTGCTATCTTGTGGTAGAAATACAACATCACAGCTTGCTGTCATGTAAAGCAATAAAAAAGCAGATTTAAATCTAAAGGTTTTATTTATTTATTTACTACGCATGTGTTTATTGCTATGCCTTTTATTCTTTATGTATTTTTATATTTTCCTTTATCTTGTTTTTTGTTTTTGCTTGTCTTAAGCTACTTTAAAGGACCTATTTATTCTTATTTTTTAATCATCATCATTATAAATGCCATTATATAGCTTTTTATTTATTTATTTATAGATATTCCAAGTTCAATAAATGTCTGCCACTTATGAGCAGTCAAAGTCATGTTATTTCTGGATCTTCAGAATTAGTTATTTCATCAGTTTTCATTTGTGATTTGGTTGTTTTTATATACTCTAAAAGGTACAAAGCTGTAATTAGGGGGGTACATTAAACTTAAGGTACAAAGGCTAAAGGTACATCTGTATTTTTTGTTTACCTCTAAATGGTACATAATAGAAACTTGAAGGCTGTAAAAATGCGGTACAAGCTCCCATCCATCCCAAATAACACTGTGCAGTGTATGGTGATGTCCACTAAAGAGACTCTACTCTGTGTGCACAGTTGGCATAGATTTCTGCAGTCAAATTGAAAAGCACAAACAGGTGGGCATGAGTATAGGGAGATTAAATGTATTTAATATCATTTAACTTTTTATTTTTATTGTAAATGAAATGGTTCTTCAACACCTGATTTAAAACACAGAATGACTTCACGGTGTGATGTAATTCAAACAGAGTCAGAAGCTTTAAAGGTGACATATCATGAAAATCTGACTTTTCCAGGTTTTGCTCCCTTGGTGACGTGGCAAAGGGATCTCATTAAAATATTACCGCCCCTTAATCTGTAAATTTCCAACCACGGCGCCGTCATTTTGATTTCGCAAGCGACAACGGTGTACCAGCTCTAATGCCATGGTGAAAGTTTGAGCAAAACATGCTAACTGTTCTGTCTTTGGCTGCACAGGCGAGCACAGAACACTATTTACAGTCCCAGCCTCAGAGGAGACAACAGAGCAGTGGACTTATTGATTTATTTAATGTATATTGCTGCTGCCACACAGATCTAAAATAAACATGCAATTTATTTCCCAGATGTTTACCTTCACAGACATAACCAACAGTTTTTTGTAACTCGTGTGTTTTTAACGTAAACTTGTGTATGAATGAGAACTTAGTTTAGTACTCACATGCTGTGACAGCCGCTTTCTGTCCGTGTGCTTCGGATGTGTGCTCTCAGAAAACCATATATAAGAAGTTTAATCTAATATTGTTTAAAATGCATGATTTCAGCATGATACACATAATAATAAGAACCAAAACAGATGTTTTTAGCAGGTATGAGCTGTAATTGAGCAGCTAGATTCTGGAAGGGGGGGTGGGGTAGCAGCAGCTAATTTGCATTTAAAGAGACAGGCCCTAAAAACAGCTTCCCCTCAAAATAGGCATTTTCAAAATGATATTATAAATTATTTTGAGCTGAAACGTCACAGACACATTCTGGGGAAACCAGAGACTTATATTGTAAAAAAGGGGCATGATATGTCTCCTTTAACAGTGAGTAACAGAAGCCAGCTGCTAAAATTAGCAGGACAGATTTCAGTCACATCTGGGTGGAACTCTCTCTCTCTCGCTCTCTCTCTCTCTCT